GGTCCATCGGCGAGGTGTTGCCTGACCTTTTGAAGATAGTCGCTCTTATTCATCACTACTGTGGTTTTACTCTTATCGGCCTTGGTAATGACAATACTATCTACCTCTCTCAGTGTGTTCAACGCTCTCCGCTCTGATGGTGCAATATTTGGAGCTCCCGGCTTTTGGGATTTCAGGACTGAGACTAGTTGTATCCGTAGCTTCTCAGCTTCCGCTGAAGGAAGCTTTCGAAACACTGACTCTACACTACGAATTATTCCCTCCGCTCTTATTACTTTTTTGCTCACAGCGAAGTTTAGTCACTTTTCTACCAGACAGCGTTCGTTTTCACTCAGTGGTCTGTCTGACAAGTTAACTACACTACAGCAATTGGTGGATGGTTTCTTCGTTTCTGTGACCTTTCTGGGGTCCTGAGTCATGGAAAGCAGCTGTTCGAACTTACGGATCTGCCTATCTTTGCATTGCCGCCCCTGCGTAATCTTCACTTCTGTGGCTTTGGTGTTGAGCATCTGGAAGTCGGCGTTTGAGATTGCGGTCTGAAAATTTTGGCCATTCCAACGCATAAGTGTTTCGGCCCCCGATTCAACATAATAATTAAATGGTGACTCAGCACAAATATCTACAAGGAATTTGTCAATTCATCGTCTTGAGGTGGTTACTTGAGGTGAGGCTAATTGACAGGGCTGGAATGCGAGATGTTGGGACTCAAACACGAACAGGTTTGATGGCAGTGTGAGGAGATTTAGGAACTTTCAATGGATATTTCGTCCTATCAGCTGTTTCGTCCTTATTGGGAATAATCAACGCGGCGCGTATCACGAAACCCAGCGTTTCGAACCCGCGGCATTATGGTCAGTGGTTGAACATTTAGACAGGATATAGCGCAGTTGGTCCTTCAATCATAGAAACACCACACGGTGACGTATTGATCGCCTTCTCGAGTGACGACTTCTCATATGGGAGTTTCACTTATTTTCTTACAAAACACCAATGTGTGAGTAACTCAGAGTAAGAAGAATTTCACGAGTGAAACTTCTTTCTGAAAATTCGTCATTCGAAGAGCCGGTCAATGTCTGACCACGTGATGCAGTTCCGGTGATTGAAGGATTAGCAGCGCTACATCCTGTCTGAATATTCAACCACTGACAGTGTCAAAAATCTCTCGGTTTCGTTAGATGCTCATTGCCGATGATTATAAAAAAGGATGGAACAGATGTGCAGTGGTTCTTGCTTTTCAGCACAAATTTGCTTCGCGGACAGGACGAAATCTCAAGTTTACCTGTTTAGGTGAGATGCAGACACCGGACGCTGGAGAGGTGGCGGCGGAATATGTACAAAGTTAAGTTCCAAGCATAGCTAAGGTGTACACTAACCGGAATGATCGCATCAGGAAAGGGTAATTTATACACGGACCGAGGATGTTCATAATCAATCGCCTGTAAACGAGTTGAGACAACCAATTTTAATAGCTGCGGTTTGAAACAAAATGTATTTGCCTCCCTTACAAGGAGTTATGACACTGCATGCGTTGACAGAAAACAGCGAATAAACAAACATGAGGGAACCTAGCTGGAAACATACCGAGCAATGCAAGTTCACCGCTAGTAGTTTGCTTTTGTTGGGTAGCTGCAGATTCCGACGGAACGGACCATGCATCGTGGCCGGATTGTGTTTGGGTTATAGGCCACGAAGAATTCGTAGCGTTCGGAAAGACTAGATCCGAATCGCTGTCATGTGATGTCAACAAGTCAACGAATTCCGCATCCGTGGATAATTTTGTCAAAAGGTCGGCAGACGTTCGCATTTCGGTCTCCGCGTTGGACTGGGCTTGCTTGCGCGCATTAGAAACGAATGACTCGAGGCGAGCTCGTTCCTCCTCAATAATGTGCATTCTTTCCTTTTCAGTAAGAACAAAATCTGAAGAACCAGCGTGCCCGGGTGACCAGGCGGAACTGGTCCCGTCATTATCCTGGCTACCGCCAAAATCCCCAGCAGTTGCTCCAAGTTTACTGTTAGTGAGAGTACCATCACTGGTACCAGTGGTTCGAGTGGAGGAACTGTGAAAGGAAAGATATCATCGATTCTGGCTTCGACAAAAAAGTAGAACTCAATGTGCCCATGTGTACCACTGACTATTGATTTCAAGGTCAAATTGCAACTCGGACGAACACAAGTTTAGTTGCAAAGGAATCAACTCGAAAGCAGTTATCAACGTGTACGCGACGTCGAGATCAGGAAACCAGAGAATACAATCAGGAAGCAGCGGAGCTGGACACAAACTTAATGAATGAGCTGCTCAAGTTTGACTGGCAACTAACTTGAGCCATCTAGTGATATACGGATGCGTACCTGTCATCAAAATTCAGCCAATTATTTCAGGCTGTTGCTTTCGACGCAAGTCAATCCAGATAAATGTATTCTCGAGCTGCTGCAGATGTATTCGCTGAAGGGAGTGAGGTGAAACTGGCAGTCTGTGGCGAAGCCCTCACAATTTTCCGGATATTCCGTTCTCCAGTCTTAATTCACGACTAAACCATTCTTAAAACTTCCGTCGCCATCAACAGACACAAGGAAATCTATACATCAGTCTTGTTGTTTAACATACACCGAAAACCTTCTATCACTCACAGACTACTGACCAGCAACTTGATACATAGTCACTATGTGACTACAGTAGAATATGTTGTTCCGTACAGCAATCTGATCAGATTGGAAAAGCCTGACAGAATCAATTGCCTAACCCTAACCAAATAAGGCCATCTGATGCGGACAGACAACCGCGGAAAAATAGAGAATTGTACAGCCTAAGTGGATGGTGGGCGCACTCGTCGGCAAGCAAAGGAATATAGGATACACAGTTCTTTCGCCTTTTGCATCCACAAAAGCGCAAAAGTAAGGCTTCCGCGAAAACAATGAACTTACCCCTCAGGTGGTTTATGGTTTTCCAAGTAGGATAAATGCTGTTCAAGCGCTTCTAGTACAGATGGTGGAACCTGTTGGGAGAGAGAAAGTTGAATCGAACCGGATTTCGCCTGTACTACGGGGATACATGTAAAGTTGCACAAGTCAACTGATGTAAAGGGGGTAAGGCGTTGAAAATTGTGCTTACGACAGCCAATCGATATTGGGCATGGATTTAAGGCGGATAGTTGCCAACCGATTACATGGGACCTCCCTATTCTTCTCTGGTCACATTAGGAGCTTTCATCAGTATGACAGCCACAGTTAACTTCGAATACCATATACAACGGGAGGCAGTGCGGTGTGCAAGGAAAGGTGCAATATATCCCCCAAAGACTCATTCCCCACAACCGGCGGCTTATTTCAGTTTTCGATTGTGGATTTCCCAAAGAAAAGTCAATACCAGTGCATCCGAAGGGAATATTTTCCGACTTGTGTCGAGACATTCAGTTAATCAGCTGCTCAAATGGGAACATCAGAAGCAGGGTTAGCCAACTACTCGCCAATTATATTTGCTTCAAATAAAAGTGGCAATCACAAATATGCACGCACTGCCCTAGCGAAATCCACGAACAGCTGACAAGAAAGTCGCAACCGATCCAGTAGGTCACACATGGGCGGTTGTCTGCCGGATGCCCGACGGACGTTAGTAAACGTCACCTGAACACTACTCAGTCAGAGTACCAGTTGGACTAATTTGTTACTTACGTTCTCTCTGTTCAATCTGTCTAACATGTGTTCATCAGAGCAACAACAGGACACTACTCAGACCGAATTTCACAACTGGTCTCATTACTGTTGGTTGCAGTTCAAGGGCGGAAGCAGATCGCATGAAGAAATTGGCTTTGGTCGAGTCTCACTATGTCAGCAAGCAACAAAAGAATACCTAATACATGATCAACAATCAGCTGATTTTGGTGAGACGTGGGAAATTTGAATGCTCCAGCTGAATGAGAAGAAACCGAGTAGACTTCTGCATATTATGTGTTCTGTAGAGATCACTCATTAGATCACGCGTCAGGTCAAGTTGTATTCATGTTCGTGCGAGTATCAAACACGAAAGAACACCCCTCTCTTCACACTGCACACAATAAATAGGCATACAACTAGGCTCAACACACACTCGCGCGCACAGGACAGGAAGTCAACAGAGCTCCGCGAGTCTTCACGGGCAACTACGGTATACTGCAGAGAAGACACGTCCCGCTTCCGTAACTTCACTCAGGAACTCTAAACAAGTGTCCTCAAACGATAAGTCACTTTTTTTTGGCTTATTCCACTTTTCGCATTGTATCTCTTTTTATCAAGTGCACCTAACTATTGTATTCATCACATTAGTAAGACAGGCATTTGTTAGTGCTTGTTACCTTCTGATAATCAACTTAACTGCGTCACAACTAGAGCACTAACAGTTCTCTATGAACACGTTTCCATAAACATACTTCAGACACAGTGCACACGGAGAAATGTCTGGTTAGACTTGGCATTGTTGTTTATTCTCTGTTATTACTTGACTACCGATTAACCGTTAACAGCTTAAAAATTCAACTCGAACGGACCGTTCCTTCTGCCGGAATCTTCAAAAACAGAGGAGACAGCTATCCTGGAGGTCTGATGGAATTCAAAAGCTAGGGTGTAACGAATGCGGCAGTTACTTTAAACATGCACACACAAAGGGACAGGCAACATGGAAGCGATCTTTTTTCCTTCCATTTCAACAATCAAGGGTGCTAGTAGGGTGTCTCCCTTCGCATCGCCATGCTTTTGTCACCCACGAGTGATGTGCTGTTCGTAATTGATGAGGATGGTACATCCGTCCCATCTCTCAGTTGGTCCGTGGAAGCATATTTTAATAGAAAACAAGCCCACCTAGAAAAGATCACTTATGAGCAGTTCTTACACACGGCCTGCCCAAAAGTGGATGGCAGTGATAAAGAATAGAAACTTACCGGCTGGAAGGTAATACTGTCATTTTCTTGAGATGGAGCAAATGACGACGAATCAGTGGCCTGAGATTAGGAAAAAAACAGATACATTGTTCAGGAATAGGACAGTCAAGGGCAGAAGGTAGCGATCATGGCACGCACACTGAACACAATTCAGTAATAGGACTACCTTAAGGTTGAGACTCTAGGTGAGCGATAGAAGGGAGCAAGCATTCAACCATAAGGTTGGAGCAGAAACACAGTGGTTGGTGCACGGTCTGGTACTAGTAAGTGCCATGAGTGGTGGTAATAGTACGATGTTGCCGTGTAGGTGTTGAACAAATTAACAATGTTTGGTCGCTTGTTTCTGCTAGTCAATACACAAGTGCCGGTACTTTACCACGAATGGCAAACAAATCAAACAGCGCGACGCAGCAATTGACCGAAAATCACATGAAATAGGAGGGTGATTCGCAGAGACGGAAGGAGGCTGCATCGATATAAAGTTACGGCGTGGAATGTGTGCGGTTTCAGAGCACATTGTATACCTGATCTGGGAACCGAATCATGGTGTTCTGAAACAAAAACAAATAAGACAGAAAGAAAGAGTAATATGACATTCCCAAACTGATTCCTTTGTCTGCCTGTTCTATTAGAAGGACATCCCACCACGGCGACCAATGACTGGGTCCATGAAGAACAGTGTAAATGGTGCTGAAACACTTCACCGGCACATATAGAATCTAATTGCAACAGAGAGAATCCCTGACAGACTCAGTTGTATGTTACGAAGCCCTCAAGCTTCAAATAATACTTGCAACGTATAGCAAACTCACAAATCAGACCAAGGGTATGTCGAAGAAATGGTCCAAGAACGGGTTTCCCTATATGGTTCGCATGATGCAGTTCCAGAAGGCAATGTGAAGACATAAGGCCCCTCCCAACTCCTGGAAAACATCGTCGGCAATTTCGCAACCTGCACAGAACACTTCAAACGCACCAACACCACTAGAGGATACGCAACTCCACCAACAGCTAACTAAAGCGGCTTTTATGCAGTACAAACCAACGTAACAATTTGTATCATTGTTTATAGGGTGCACTATCGTCTTCACTCAAAACGCGCGCCGTGTCCTGATAAGTATCGATTATAGTGTCACGTTACGCGTAAATATGAGTATGGTATCTGGACGAATTCTGAACCAAATGCAACACACAGTGAGTTGAGGAATGCAGAACTGTTGAAGGGATAAGCACTTAAGATGTTGGCACCCGTACATCAACAATTCCCCGATCAACTGGGACAACTTCCGAGAAAGCTCCTGAGGAGACCTACGGACTGTTGCTTTGGACAGTGGCATGAGCTGGATGCGTCGAAGTGGATGGCGTCAAATTCTCACTACTAGCCAAATATAGGCAGCTCAGTAGCTGGCAAGTGCACTACAGTTATTTTCAAAGCAGGTCGTACACAGAAAATTCTGTTCAGAAACTTTGGTGATCAGACGAGAACCGGTGTTTCCAACATGGTATGGTCGAGGCCGAAATTCTGTTTACCAAAGGAGGGACCCAAATGTTTGCCTTCCGTTTGGAAAAGCATACATGTAGGAGCTTCCAAAACAGATTCCGAAGAGGGGCAAAAATGCCACGCACCGTGACTAGCATCGATGTGCGTAGCGTTTTGCAAGTACTACCAGCGATCCACCATTTACAAGCACATGCAGCTTTGAGCGTTTCTTTCTTCGACTAGTGCATCCGATTCCACAGAATGACAGGCAAATAGTGGTGTATGTTGGTATACGATGACTGACCGTCTCACGCATCCTAAGCGTACGACGGCTTACTGTATCCGATAGTGCGATTGTCCCGTGTTCGACCAGCAGTTTTGGGACGGATAGAACATGATCACAGTGAATGACAACTGGCTATCATCGGCTGGCTGGGCACGACCAGTACCGCACCTTTTTAAAGCCTTTCGCAAAGGAATCAACAAACGCTTAGCGAATAACGTGGAGACGCGGGCGTTAGAGTCTTATTCACGTAAGTATCGCAACCAAAAACACCCGTCAAACATGAGCTTTTTCAGCCAGAAGCTCCGATCAAGAGCCATCAGAATATATCACAAGAGATGTGACATCATCGAGAACATTGAGACCAGGTGGTCTTGCATTGAATCCGAAAGAAAGTGTAGGAAGACTGCCAAAGTACTGTGCTGTTTTTTATTAAACACATCGAATCCTTAAGAGGCCAAAGCCTTGTAACCATACAACTACCCTTCTTTAGACCGAACACTCACAATCGCCCTCTCGTAGATGATGGTTAGTTGTAACCAGCTGTTACTGGTAATCGATCTAGTGACTGTCGATCTGTTCGCTGAGCCTGGCAATTAGTTTGCGGACGTTTCATCACTAATCAAGGGGACACCATCAACCTCGCACTGATGACGCGGAGCTCGGCAAACGGATCAACAACTTAAAAGATCGTCAGTTATGATCACCTTGATTATGATTGTGATTATGGCGTGACTTCAAAGCCGTACCGCGGTGTTGGGGCACAAGAACGCAGTCACAGAGTGCCCCCTGGTGAGTTCGTGACCGAAGAGCTGTAGAAAGTGCCATTTGTTGGCCGTGCCAAGTCAGCTGACGATAGTAACTCACTGTACGATCCGGTCAAGTTATGCTCATTTGCAACCGTTGAGCCAAAACCATATGCAAATCGTGAACTGCAATATGGTGCGTAGTGTCTACAGGTATGAAACAATTACGTAAGTGCTGACAGATTTTTCGCACGCTAACATGACCACATGCGCGCGGCTACACCAAATCTGTTGTTATGCTCACGGATAACCAAGCTTTTGCGATTGAAGACGTGCAGGTATAGGGAAGCAGCGACAGACCGGTGTTGAAAATTTGATTAACGTTATTTCCCCCATCACAGTCACGAGGAGTATGCTTCGACACCTCACACAAATTGAGAAATCCAGCCGACAAAAAGCAGAAAAGGTAGAAAGTGCATTTCCCCTGAAAAAACCTTCAGGTGCCAACTTACAATTTAAAGTGTGTCTTGAAGGCAAGCGACCATTACAATACAACAGAGCAAGCCGGGTTGAATCACAACTTACCTCAGCTATTTTAACAAAAGCATTCATGGCCTCCATTCGTTTTAGGAAAGCTTTGTAAATGACTAAGGCAGTCCTGCAATCACGTTTCGTCATCGTAAAATAGCGACCTGTGGAGTGAAGGGACAACAGAGATGTGGTCAGTATAAAAAGCGTTGACCAATGAGAGTGGTCAGATATCCGAGACGATGATCAGTTTCAAAGTAATAACCAACCCTCGTTTTTCGCAAGACAGCAACGTCCTACAGTTATCACCCGCGTATCCAGTTAAAGTGGCCACAGTTGCCTGCTGCTCACTCAAATGAATCAACAGAGAGATGAAGGAAACAAGGGATAGAAAACAAAACGTGGCACCGGAAAATGATCACCTAAGGATTTAATCGAAAAGCTGAGTAACAGCGAACAGCCCATGACAAGAAAATACGTCTACCCATATTTTGTAATAAAATCTCATTGAGTATGAGGGTAGCACGCTACTCATAGGGTTGTTCAAAACTCCCCACAACACATGAGCTGCTTCGTCCCCCTTCGCGCTCATCGAGCAGGCGTGGTACAAGAGTTTTTTCTTCAAACTTATGATCCAATTGGACCCAATTGGGCACATTTCGACAGACTTTGATTTGCGTATCAATGCGGCTTTCGCTGGAGACTCAACTGAATCTCACGTCAACTGGTACGCCGGTCTCGCTATACATTGCATAAACGTAACACACTACTTATAAGCTCGGCCTATCGTACCAACTGAAACAGGCGGGGGGCCGGTGCAGAACATTCAGTTGAAGAACCACATAAACGAGAGATCCAGCTGGACCTCCTGTGAAAGCCAAATTGGTAGGCAAATGAGTGTATCTCACTGTAATAACTATGTTTGGAATAAGATGAGTTCTGTCAGTGGATGGATGGTTCTATTAGAAATGACACAAAATTTCAATGGACACTTTAAATAGAAGGGGGCAGGTAAACTAATAAACAGAATCCACCTTACACAAACTCACCACGAGGCGCTCAATGAAAACCAGTAAACTCCTCATCAGTAGTAGCAACACCGGCAAAGCCATTGGCAAGTCACTGACGTACAAACACCTCAATTTACTTGAAAAGTCATTTAGTTAAATGAGGGAGATAGACAGACTCCAGGGCTAGTCACGAAAAACACCAAGGAGGCCTACACCTCTAAGATCAGAACCAATCACCGAAAACTCTGCCAACGGTTCGGAATCCTGAATGGTCATGCGATTTCCCTAAACCCTTTAAACGTTTTTCCACAGAGTTTAGGTAATTTAATATTGTCGCGGAGCTAGTTTCTATCTACGCGCCCTACTGTCAGCAAGTCGGTCGTCAGAAAACATGGATTTATGGTAAGAATAACAGTGCATAAATATGCAAACTAAATCACACAAGCCTCCCATCACCATGTATGTTCGGAAATGAAGATAATATGGAATTTCTTTAGATAGCCTGATCACGTGACATTCCAGTCGATGTAGCTAGGTCACATTCTAGTCGGATCGATCAGATAGGACAGAAAAAGCGACGACAGACAGGTTCAGTGAGCATACATGGAACATATGGGAGTGAGACAGCTGCGCTCAATCAGTACACCGCAACAGATCGCACAAGCTTTGTTCGCTTTGGAACGGAATGGCAGGTGGATGTGGAATGTTGTACACCCGGAAAAGTAGTGACAAAGGCACTGATCGCGCATATCAGCCCTCTTAAGGTGAACCTAAACATCAGCACACACACACACACACAGGACTCCGAGCAGTCTCCAAGAGCACAGTCCCTTCCGACCAACAACAGGCATCTTCGTTAGGCACTAGTTTTCTCATGTCCCTTCATTTTGCTCAAGTTGTCTACACCTCGAGACCGGGTTCATTACCTAAGTTTGGTTTCTCGAACCTGAACTGATTACAACGACGAGTCATTCTGGCTCGTACGATGGATTAACAAATGCTGTCTCCCAGAAACATGGATACAGGACGCAAGTAATGTAAGTGCGCTGACCGCTCTGTCATCCATTTCTGGTTGAGCATCTCTGGCGACAAAAAACTGGGCTGGGCGGATATCACCTCCGCATAGTGGTTTATTGTTGACAGTTGCCGCTGCGCGGTCCGTTTAGTGATGTCCGTGAAAAACCTCAGAGAGAGAGATACATCACCTCCCTGTTTATTACGTCTGAATATGCCTCAACAAACTGTAATTATAGCTTTCCTTGCAAAGTCTTTGTAAGACTCATGTTTGAACTCCTGAGGTACAAACGAAGGCTATCTTGAATCAAATAAGAGACGCAGGGTCAATGCGGAAATTCTCTCACAGTTGTGTCTCCATGACAGAATGGTTTTATATCCTCCGGAATACGGGAAATCGTGTGATCAAGCTGGGTCGGCGAAAAAACAAATCGGGATTCAAAAAAGTCATACCGCTATCAGACATCGCCCTGCTGCCGCTCCTAACTGGATAGAGAACATGGACCCATCCACTGGCGTTTTCTGATGAGGTTTTCATGCCTGCCGAATCAGTGCATGTGGAGCAAGCATTGCTCTCTGTGTCTCTCCAGAATGGTGAAGACTGAAAAGCGGGCATGTTATTTCAGATGTGGGTACGAGGTGACCACAGGAAGTTTTAGGCTTCGTCTTCTGCTCAACCACAGACGTTGTAAATAAACCGACTTCAATTGATTTCGTGCTGTCAGTTCCCGTCCACATTGTCTGCGTGAGCAGCATACCCCTATCCCAACTTTTAGTTCATCCATCTTGGGAAATGTAAAGAAAGTAAACTTGCGGTTGTGTAGTCCTGAAGCACCGGTATCAGTGCTGGTGTTGCTTTGTACAAAGTTCTTGGGATGCTGTGCATTCGAAATACGTATCACAACAGTCCAATTTCGATTTGGGAAGTTTGTAATGCCTCAGAGGAAGCTCAAACACGTTGTTTTATACACAGATTATCGACATTCAGTGCCTGATTTTACAGAGCTCTCAATAATGGTGATGGGTAAACGGGGATTTCATCAACCGACTGTGGACACTGAAAAATCTTCCACAGCGAATTCGTGTACACGTTATTCTGGAAGAATTATTATTCTAAATTTATCCCCCTGAAACGTAACTACCTCTCGACGAGGGATGAATACGTCTGGTCAAAGTTTTTCTGAGTTTTGATAAAAAGTTTTCATTGGTGGACTACTAATTATTTACCGGATAGAGAATCATTCTCTGAAGACCCTCGTTGTAACCAAGAAGACAAGGCCGCTGAGTAAAACGAGCACTTTGAGACCAACTAAAATTATGAGTAACCATCTGAAGTGAGAGAACACCACGGTGCAACCTAATACTTACGATGATCAAATTTGGTGTGGCGATTATAGAGCTTGTGGCTACTCGCCCTTCGGAGAGGGGTTAAAATAATCACGTAGAAATAATCGTTCAGAGATAACACCCTTTCGGTGCCTAGCTGGTATGCCATCCGAGGGAAGCATGAGGGTTAGGATACTGCCAGCTCACCGAAGTCTAGACAAAAGTTGAGATGCTGGGATTGCGCCCGAACTAAAAACCTCCTCGTCAGTAAGTACGCGCATTAAGCACTTAGCTAACTGGAGCTTACGAGAGGCCACCACAGAAGCGTTTCAAACCAGTCGCAAGAGAAGCGACTGTGAGGTCTTCCCTTTAGGATGGCTACTTCCTACTGCACTAAGATTGGAACAAGCGGTAACAGATAGCATACACGTCTATTTGGGCGGGACAAGTAGGCCAGTCTATGGGCGACGGGGATACTGTGATACCAGAGGTTCGCTAGTCAGAAGCTGGGTTAAGACATCCCACAAGGGCACTAACGTACGCGAATTTTCGCCAGTTACGCGTCAGTATTTAACAATAGTATTACCATTTACGATTATGATGATGATAGTTAGAAAGGACTCATCTCATACTGTCTGGCTTTTCAACGCATCACCCTGGATTGGCTGAAGACACCATTGAAATGTTTGTCAGGCTCATAGAACGCTGTCGTTTAAAAATGAAGTTGGACAATAAATAAGTATTAAACTAGATCCTCGCACCATTTACTGATTTTACCGATTGATAGACCCGGAAGAATCAGATCACAGTCCCCAGCGCCAAGTCAAACGAAAGGCGGCTGCACAAGTGTTCACAAAAATAATCAAGATGAAGCAGTTAGTAACTAGCTAGGGGTAAACCTCAGAGGCAGCACAAGCCAGTCCCTAGGAATGCTACCTGCTCCTGTAAACATGGCTACTTACATGCAGCCAGTATGTTCAACTCTTTTTGTTAGACCACCATTCACGGACTCTCCAAAAGCGGGTCACGTTTAGACGACCCTATTATTTTTACTGTAATTTCTGAGTCATGTTAGCGACACCTTTAATGGGACTTTGTGAGCCAACCGAAACATTGACACGGTACGACCCTGAGAACAAAGTTTACCCGTCGTTGGGGATGAAAACGGAACCAGGCTCTTCGGGAGAGTCGTGAGAGAAAATGATAGCCCATGCCTCGGACCAACTATAATCGTTTCTCACATGCGACCATCCGGCTGTGTCCGCCATCCAACAAAGTGACCTAAATGAATCAAAACTGATCACGGGGTTGTCTTGTTCATGTGTTCTCGTCTGTTAGTTTAATCCACCCAAGTACACCAAAAGTCTACGGAAAATGATAGCTTCGGAAATGACAGTCTCACATTTCGACCAACGTCAAACCGTTCCATCGAAAACAACGCAGTTCGTTTCGGCTGTAGCACAAAGTTTAGCATATCAGACAGGTTTATTCGATGATCTTGAAGCGGCACAGCCATTACCATTCAGTCCTTTTTATCGAATAGCCTGATTTTATCAAGCATAATTCGATTCTAAATCTACTGGAGAAACTCTGGTCACAATTTTCAAGGCCATCCAACTCAAGACAACAAAGTTGATCGATGGTGGTTTTCGTGTAAATGTCAGTTGAATTTACCATTCTTGTCGTCCACGAAAGCTAAGAGGACAAAACAACCTCCTTTTTTACACAACACTACTTATAAGGTCGATGAGTTCCTTTAGATAGCTCACTATAGATTTTTCCTTTTCGAGATTTATCTGATAAGTCTGGTCCCC